TCCTCCAGGGAGGTAAAGGAAGTGACATACGAGTGCGCCATCGTCCCTGCGACGGGGATCCCAAACAGGAAGCCAGCCTGAACATTACTGGTGAGATCAAACCCTGGGAGACAGATTCTAGTGTCAGTCTAGTGTCTAGTTGTAGTGTTAGAAAAAAAAAAAAAACTTACTGCAAATCGTCTCTGTTGGATTTTGTTCATTTGTTTTTCACATGTTATCATGTTCACTCTTTGTTGGAGACACATTCCACCACATTTCTGCAGGGGAAGTTACGATAAAGTTCAATCAATTTTTCAAAGGTTTCTCAGCTCCTGTGGTTGATAAAGCCCCTTTTATGCAGACGCAGGTCCATGTGCCTCCTTCCAGTGAGAACGCCTACATCTATGCGTGTTATGTTGGGGAGGGAAAGTGCTTATTGTTATAATCCTACATCAAATAGAAATGATCCAGGCCATTTCTCTCTGATGTAGGATTACAACATCATATAGACATAAGTAAAAAATACATATCTCAGGCTTATTGCACTTGCACTCTTGTTGTAAAATGTAGAAGAAATGTACAAAATTTTGACATAGTGAGCGTCAGAATGTTTGACAGACCACACAGCATTCACCCCCAATGTGTGTGTATCGTGAGGCGGTGAGCCCTCCATCTGGTCCCTGAGCCCTCCTGAGGCCCATCTCCAACAGCTTCCTTCTGGGTCCGGCCGCCAGGCGGAATCGAGCAGCGTTACTGCACACCAGACTGACAACAGAGAGGAGGCAGAACAGAAACAGGCTGTTTTATGTCTGGAGCCAAACTTCTACACAGTGATATAAAATGCACAGTTTGGTCTGAAAGCTGTGGCTCATGATTAAAGCCGAGGTCAAAGACTGCACAGCTTCGACTTCTCTGCACTCCCCCCCCCCCCCTTGCTTTGGTTATTTAATTTTTGTATGTTAAAAGGCTCTGTATATGAGATGCTGTACATTAATAGATATTTTGGAGTAATGGCATCCTGAGCAGAGAATGACGTTAATCTGTTTCTGTTGTCATCTAAGCTTCTCTGTTCTTTGTTTTGGTAGCTGGTCTGGCTGCATGTGCATGTTAGTTCACGAGAGTCTCCTGCTGTGAAACAGTTGGCTTTGAGGAGAGCGATATCTCGGCTCTTTCTTTTTCTTCTTCTTTTTTTTTTTTTTTAACCCCGTCCTGCTATGCAGTTTGAGGAGCTGGATACCATGTTGTGACAGATTTTGCTTTAACAAGAGAGTTTTAACATACTCCTTTGTATTCTGTTTTATTCATTTAATTATGTATTTGTTTGTTACCGGGCCAGACGGGCGGGGGGGCATAAGAAAAAAACTGAGGGAGAAAGAAAAAGTCAAGCAAAATAAATAACTAACACAGCACAGCCTTGAGATAGGAAATAACTAAACTGTAAATAAATAACGTATTTATATGCATGAATAACGCACCTACAAGTCCAACCATGGACGACCTAAATTTGTGTGTCTGTGGATGTGTCTGTTTGTGTGTATGTGCGTGGGTGTGTTTCTGCATAAGCCTGTCATTGAATGTAGTTGGTAGTGAGAGTGGGACACGGCATGGACCCCCGGGGACAGCCCCGCCCCGCCCCATGGGAGAAGAGCAGGGAGCTGCGCCAGGGAGAGAGCTATTTCATGGCTATTTCTTTTCTCATGTAAGGATTTATTTCAACCAAACCAGAGCTGGTGATTGTTGGTTTTGTTCTGTCTGTCTGAACCATTCTATCCTACAAATATATACACACACACACACACACACACACACACACACACACACACACACACACACACACACACGGATGTTAAATGTTTTTTTTGTGTGTGTGTGTGTATTGGTGGGTTGTTACCTGGCGTAGTTGACCAGACATAGTAAACTGGTCTCCAGCAGCTGAACCACAGCCAGTGGACCTGCCACCTCCATCAAGGGCACCTGCAGATGATTTTGGGACAAATTACATCCCCTGACTCCCTACACATCCTGTATTTGACCTTTGACCTACAGTTACAAACTGACGCTCACCCTGGCAAACACCACGGTGCCCTCTGGGACGGAGCGGAGTGTAACGCCGGAGCAGTCCAGGCTTCGCAGGAACTGGAAGAAGGCGGGGTCGGTGGCCGGGGGCAGGACGGAGCGCAGGAACTCTACATCTGGATCCACAAAACACAACTGTTAACACCACAGCTGGAACTGCTGTCAGTAAGACCAACCACAGAGGGCATCCTTCATCCTACAACACTTGTGCTCTCACACAAGCACATGTCCTCAATGTACCCTGCCCCTCACATGTCCTGTCTCACCCACACACACACGATTACAATAATAGAGCTAAATCTAATAACTTTCTGTACATTTAATCTAATCCAGGAGCTCCCAATACATTGGTTTAACTGTGACTAAACATGTTTGAGTGGCCAAGACAACTTGCTGACTGCAGCGTGGAAACTATTTAGGTAGGCTACTATTTGACAATGGCTACTCTACAAGAAGTAAGCTATTAAGACTCTTTACCCAAGGAAAAGAGCCAATATACAACAATTTATCAGACAATCTTTTATATTAGTCCTTTTTTAAAATAATTTTCATTTAATTCCATCAGTGCCAACTTGAATTGAGCCTCTTGTAGAAGCAAATGACTCTGAAAACTTTCTTGGTATGCGGTGTGTGCCATGTTGCTTCATGCACAGGTCTTTCCAGCACACAAAGGATTACAGATTATTCTTGTGTGCTAAAGTTCTGAGCTAAATGTCAAAGTTCACTGAAAAACTCCACCGGCATTTATGTTAAAGCCCTCAGAGGGATCGCACAGTGAAGTATTGCGCAACCAGAATGCGTAAATGTTTTTTTGGAGTTTGGATGAAAGCAATGGCATGCCGATCTGATGAAAAATTTGATTTTGTCATTTGCTGCTGTTAAAATAGTTATAGCAATGTAAGATAACCAAGATCAGGCTGACTTTTTCCTCACCTTCGTCTGTGAAGCGAAAGCTGCGCAGAAACAGCAGGCAGTCGTGCAGCCCGGCGAACAGCGAGAAGCCGCCGCCGAACGGATTGTCCCTGAAGAAGAGCTCGAACACGGCGGGCTCCTGGTCCCGGCCGGACCGCCAGTATGCGTACGCCATGGTGAACTGGTACAGGTCCGTCAGCAGCGGGGGGACCCGTTCCCGGATAGACCGCTCCATAAGCCCGCATGTGTTGCTGGACGGCGCTGCCATGTTATTCAAGCCGTGGTTCTCGGTTCACTGATGCAGAGATCTCTGGGACTTGCAGTTTTTCAAAACCCCACCGACTCCTTCACTGTGGCAAACACCCTCAAAGGCAGAACGAGGCGTTTGTTTCCCAGAAACTATACTATGATCTTTTCCACTAAACAAATATTTTATTAGATTACGTATTATTTATAATATATCTTAGGTAGCTGAGCTTTTTCTGATCACTTGTTCATCAAAACAGCAGAACAAAACGCAAACCCAATGCAAACTTTTAACCATTGTATAAAATGTGAAAAAATATAGAAAACGAATGCAAGAAATGTATTTTACTAACAAAAACACTACATAAGGTCTAACTTTACTGTTGGATAGTTTAAAAAAAAAAAGTTCCTGTAGTATTCATGTGGTGTGGTACAGCACCACAGAATATATCCTACCTATAGCCTAGAGTAGAGCCTGAGGTACAATCCTGTGTAAACGTCCCAAAATACCATACAAACCTCCCCAGTACCACAGGAATTTACTACAGGAACATGTTGCACAGTACCGTAGGAACATGAGGTACTAATATCACAGAAATTGTATGTTATTTTACCATAGGACATTTTTGTAAAGGTTAAACTGCAGCAATCAGAACACCAGTTTTCTTCCTCTGTGTAATAACCAATAAATCAGTAAGATAAATGCACCAAATGGAAGTACAAGTTCCTTACAGGCCACATATGGTTTTTCTGATTGCCTGGGGAAAGTAAAATACCATGTCAGGTAAGTAAATCTAGCAACTCACTTGCCCAATTGTTTTGGTGTAATTTATTGCTGCAGCCTCTCCTATGTTCTCTGTGTCAGCCCTGAGCTCAATACACCTGTTCAACAAGCATCAACATGTCAACATGTAAAAAGCACATTTTAATCTTCTCTGTCTCTCATCCACCATGTTTTCACAGTGTGCTATCTCAGCTATGAGGGAATTGTTACAAACAAGCTCAAATGAAAGCTGTCTGTATGTTTTCTATAACTGTTTAGTGCAGTTTCCCAGTTATCTTAAAATCTGGCTGAAAAAGAAACAAAACAACGAGACAAAGAGACAACCCAGCCGCTCCTCCCTCGGTCAGGGGTGCCTGCAGGAAGTAAATCACATCTGCAGAGGGAGGAGGAGGAGGACAGGAATAAGTTCTTCATTCTTTCACTTCACTAAGTATTTTACTGACAGGAATATGATTTATCTTATTGGAATTTAGATTTGTTTCCAGTGAAATATTGAGTTCATATAGTGACTTTACTGTGAACATTATTATTGCTGCTCTAGAAACATTTACTTCTATTTAAAATATTTAATTCTAATCCTGTCCTGAATTTATTTTTTTTAAATAATATATTTTTAAAGCACTTATTTAGTAATGTAAGAACCGATAAGTATTGAAAAAGAACCGTAACGATAGAATCAATCATAAAATCAACACTACCCATCTCTACTCCTGAGAGAATGGCAGCAGGTAAAAACAAAGTTTATGATAATTTATCTATTACTCAGTTGACACGTTCATCTCTGGGGAGAAACAGGGCGGTTGTCATTTAACTTTTGATATGCAAGAATCTTGCATCTCTGACATCTCTGTATAGGGGCAAGTAAAAACTGACTTTGGGCAAGTAGATTTCTTAAAGATAACACTGATGTTGAACGGCATTAGAATGGTACCATATTTGAGTGAATGTACTTTGATACTTTGACATGGGTTGGAAGATTTGATTTGAAAAAGGAAACAAGACATTCAGAGTAGTTCACTTTATTCAAGAAGGATCTGACTGCATACATTCAGTAGTATATTCTAAAATTCTTGTCGAGAGTTTGTTGTTTTTGCCAAAACACACTTCGGGTTGCCAGAAAATGCTCCTGGTGTTGTGCACATATTCTTGTATTGTATTTTATTTTATACATGCTCTGCTGCAGATGTCTGCTACTCTGTAATTTTAACAAAGACACTATAACTGTTTCTTATGAATATGATATATATTAAACAACTTAAATATTTGTAGGCTATGTATTTTTGTGGGTATGTTCTGCTGCCGTTTGACGCAGTACCATCAATGTGCCAAGTAACTGCTCTCTTCTCTCAACTTTGCTATAAATATTAGTTTGGGTTAATTAAGGTTTGATCTAAGAATCTGATTTGCATGTGACTGAATTTTATCTTTAAACATGCAGACACACTGAACGTGTGAGGAAAGTGACGATGACACTGAGCTTGCTGTCTCTCAGCCGCTGTAGCTTTATTAGGCTCTCCAACCTGGGGGGCAGGATGATAAAATATGTTTTTAAGGTGATTAACAGGAAATTACATACTTCTGCTACACCCAATTACAGTTACTGGATAGTTATGCCTCTTCAGGATCATAAATATAATTCAGATTAATCCAGCAAAGACAAATTTTGTTTCAAATGCAATCTGTAATGGGGGGGGTGGCAAGTACACACTGCTTTGTTTGTCTCAAGCCGAAAGCGTTTGGGAACAACTCCTTTAGCCAATGAAATACAATCAAACGCACTGCATCATCACTGAATTTGACTTCTCACATTAATCAGGATAGGAGGACACATCAGCCCAGGCTTCAACGATCACATTGTGATGTGTGATTGACGGCTGTGAGAAAGTAGTTGTCTGTTCCCACTGCCAGTATGGGACACCGATGCTGTCTGCACATCTCACAGGATAGCATTTCAAAATCTAAAAGGTACACCTTTAACCAGTTCAGGTGATTATCCCAGTTCTCCCTGCTGCCCGCTGGCCTCCTCCTCAGTGAAGCACCCTGCGAGCTCATTGGTCAGTGTGTGCTTCTGTCCTCCCCAGAGAAAGTGCGCGGGCTGTCCTGATTGGCCGTCCTCCTGAGCATAAACAAAGAAGGGGCTGAACTCGATGGCCAGAGCCGACCTGACCAGGCCGACCCCTCCTTCGCGCTCTGAGCAGGGGTGGTAAACTCGTCCACTGACCGGATGCATGTACAGCGCCTCTGGGCGGAACGGGGCGCACAGCTTCTCGGCCCCGCCGCAGTACGACAGCAGCTCCTGATCCCCCGTGACTCCCTGCAGCAGGTGGGTGAAGACCACAGGACGGTCGTCGCAGCGCAGGAAGTTCCTCTCCCTGCCACACAGGGACAAGAAGGGGAAGTCCTCTTCATAGCGCCCGCTCTGATTTGAACGCAGCCGACTGAAGAAGAAGACCAGGAACTGTTTATCTGGTGATAAAGGAACAGGGATGATGAGGAATAAAGCAACAGAAACATTAGAAGTTTGGCTCTATTTCTAATAATTAGTCAGATCAGGAATGTGTTGAAGGCATCAGCAGTGCTTTCACACTGTGCTGAGCCTATCTTAGCACAAATTTGATTTACTGAAATATCCCGCGGTCCATTGATCTTGAGGCCCTTCCTTTCTGGTACAAGTCTAATGACATATTTTTCCTACTAATGTATCATAACAGCAAGTACTGTGTGTATCACAGCCTGATGTCTCTACTTCCACTGAGCCATAGAGCTTCATTGTTGTCCCAAAACTATTAAAAACACACCAGTGAGCCACACTGTCGCACCGGGTGACATGTTCATTCATCACCATGAACACACACTGTAGTTTATTTTGCCAGTCCAGTCCCAAATACACTGTCCTGTTGCCCCAAATACTCACTAGAGCAGCGCATGTGGATTCATCCACCGCTGAAAATAGTCCCAAATAAATGCACATATATATTTGTGAGCTGTTTTTAAAATATGTATATCTTCTTCAGTAGGAACCAATGGGCTTGGAGATGAGAGCTACAAACAGTTAAACACATTGCTGGCTTTGGTCTTTACATGGGATTCAGTGACAATAACAAAAAAAGAGAATATTGCCAGCCTCGTCTTTTGAAAGAGTAGCAAAATCCAGTTTAAAAACCTTAACTATTTTAGCAGATATTTTTATTACATGGTGCATATTCCTAAATAAAGTTGAGATTTATGAAATTACCACACAGTGCTGCATAATATTCCAGGATAGGATTAGTGTACATAAAGCAGAGAGATTAAATTTCGCATTTAATTCTGTTCTCAAACTAACATGGTAGGATTCCTGGGGGTACATATTGACGAGTTCTTAAACTATAAGGTTCATATTGATGAATTGATGAAATTGAGACTGATTCTTCCATCCAAAACACTCATAACTCTGTACAAGTCTCTATTTGAGCCTCACCTAAATTACTGTAATGTCATATGGTGCAATACCTATCAAAGTTACCTAAAGAAATTACAGATCTTACAGAAAAAAAAACTATACATGCCAACTCCAAAATAAATGCTCCGACTGATCCTATATTCTACAACTACAGTCTTCTGAAGCTAACGGAATGTAATATCTTTCATAATGTAGTACATATGCTTAACAGCAGACTATGTGACCTTATTCCGATTCATTCATTCATTCTACTACTACTACTACGAGGAAAAAGGATCTTAAAACGGGTAAAGAGACATAAACTTAAATGTACAAGCTTCAGTGTGGTTTGCAGAGGTCCGCAAGTATGGAATGAAATTGATTATACTATAAAAATGTCATTTTGTCAGCTTTCAAAAGGACCTTAAGACGGCAGCTACTAGAAATATATGTTCAAGCTACAATTACTTCATTGCTGGGGAAAACATTTAGATGATGATTTGTCTTTTGATTGTGGAATCTGTTTAAAATGTACTGCAAATCTCATTTATCAAAGTTTCTATTCATTGTACATTTACCTACCTAATTAATGATAGACTGATACAAAAATGTTTTATATAGCACTAGGATTAGAGTAGCTTAGTTTTTAGGGTATTATGTAGGTATATTTTTGTAATACTCTAGATTATTTGAGTGCTACTTAATTCCAGTATATACACTATATATATATATATATATACACACACTATATATATATATATATATATATATATATATAGATAGATAGATAGATAGATAGATAGATAGATAGATAGATAGATAGATAGATAGTCAATATTTTGTAAATATGTTAAATAATTTCTTTACTGTCTGGGCCTCTATATACAAGCTTGAGACAGCTTACCAGGGTGTCCCTATTCACAAATCAGTATTATTTTTATGATTGTACTTGTAATATAATGTCTTGTTGTTGTGAATAAAGTATTGATTGATTGAGGATGCTACTTATGCCAACTCCACCTGACTGTGGGGTTCATGGCAAACATGCATACTGACGTATTGTCTATGCTGCTGCTTCACAGTTCCTTTAGGCTGTGTGAAAGGCTATGCGGTGGAGGTAATTCTGGGAGACTTGGAGACACTTTATGCGTTGTGTGGGTTCATTTTTACCTTTGAAGCAGGTGACAAAGTTCTTCACTTTTGTGCCATCGAGGAAAAGCTGCAAGTCGAGCACACGTCATGTCGTGTCAGCAGGAGAATCTAACTTCAGATTAAATCAGGTTTTGTTTTGTTTCACTTTAAACACTCACCTGTCCTTGGTGGTCAATGTAGTAGAAGTATTCTCGGATACGTGGTTCCGGGCTCTGGCCCTGGATGTATGTAGCGGTGGTTCTGGAGGCGATGCAGCCGGCGGGCAGGCAGCGCAGAGCGGCCAGACCTCTGCAGCTGAGAGCTGCAGTACGGAAGAACAACATGCCCGAACAGGCGCTCCGGAGTCAGAGACCACGACTAGTGTGTTAACCGAGAGTGTTTATTTAACCGACGTTACACAACGTAAGCTTTGCCCTTATGTTATTGTTTACGGCTGACACCGTGCAGAGATGCAACCCGGAAGAATTCAGCTGTTGCACCATCGTCACTTTCTCACTGCGGCCGCCTAGTGGACATTGATGGTACTTCTGTTTTATGACGTTTAGATTCCATTAATGTACCAATATTCAGAATTTAACACAATATAAATTCACAACATTACATCAAATATCTAAAAAAGTAGGAAAAAACATAATAACAAAAAAATGCATGGGTTACATAATCAAAATAAGATAATAATAAGATGAAAGAAAATAAGAATAAATCAGTTAATTTCTAAATGAATTAGGTGCTTTTCTCCCCACCCTGTTTACTTATTTAAACTTTAAGCCTTTATTATCATCATCAAAAAAGTAAATCAATCAAACTTTATTTTTATAGCACCCTTAAGCTTTACAGTTGGACTGACAAAACCAAAAAGCAAAAGATATTCTATTATATGACAAAGCATCAAATCATCACACTAGAGAAGCTGCAATAAGCGAATGTTTGTCATTTATACTTGAATAATATTATGCAATTATCAAAATAGTTTTCTGCGGACTGTGATCACTTTATCGACTAATCATAGCAGCTTATGTGTTGGTTGCCTGAATGTCACAGGCCTATCAGTGACTTAGAAAGTATGAATTAATGAGCCATGAACAGCGGGAGCAGCCTGCCTACATGTTGTATAATAACTTGGAATGTGTGATATATTAAGTCCAAGCAGAAAGCAATATTGTTTGGTGAACACAACAGAGCTCTTCAGGGAGCGCCGTGTAAATCTCTTGGCTTATAAAAGAAGCACATGAAAACAACATTCCTCTACAACAGCAACAGACTGGCTGTGCACACAGACAGAGAGAGGGACGGCCGCAGGGAGACAGGCTGCAGCGAGACCAATAGGCTGCAGGGAGACAGACAGACAGACAGACAGACAGGCAGACAGGCTGCTTGGAGACCGACAGACAGACAGACAGGCAGACAGACAGACAGACAGACAGGCTGCAGGGAGACCAATAGGCTGCAGGGAGACAGACAGACAGACAGACAGGCAGACAGACAGACAGGCTGCAGGGAGACAGAGAGACAGACAGACAGGCAGACAGGCTGCTTGGAGACCGACAGACAGACAGACAGACAGGCTGCAGGGAGACCAATAAGCTGCTGGGAGACAGAGAGACAGACAGACAGACAGGCTGCAGGGAGACCAATAAGCTGCTGGGAGACAGACAGACAGACAGACAGGCTGCAGGCAGATAGACAGGCTGCAGGGAGGCTGCAGGGAGACCAATAGGCTGCAGACAGACAGACAGGCTGCAGGGAGATAGACAGGCTGCAGGGAGACCAATAGGCTGCAGACAGACAGACAGGCTGCTGGGAGACAGACAGACAGACAGACAGGCTGCAGGGAGACCAATAGGCTGCAGACAGACAGACAGGCTGACAGGGAGACAGACAGGCTGCAGGGAGGCTGCAGGGAGACCAATAGGCTGCAGACAGACAGACAGGCTGCAGGGAGACCGACAGGCAGACAGACAGACAGACAGGCTGCAGGGAGACCGACAGGCAGACAGGGGCTGCTGCTGGAGCTAAACGGACAACAGCGTTTTAAACAGAGGCTTCTTTGGTCCACAGATGGGACTGACCGCAAACAAAGATGATGATTCAGACCAACTGAAATGAACTTTATCCAAAAAAAACAACAACAACCTCAGTAGCGAAGCTCCAGCTGATCCACCCACCTGTCCTGGATGTTTCGCTTCCTCTTCCTGCTGCAGGTATCAAGGGTGGAGCTGTTTTCACCTGGACTCTCACAACCGGCAGGAGAGCGACTTTAAACTTCAACAATGGCGTTATAAACGGACTTTGGAGTGATTTCACCGACATATATATTCACAGTAAGTGTATCTGTGGTTGGTAACGGTTGACTTAATTCTGCCCCGTCAGAGAAACGTTTAAAGCTAATAATGAAACAAACTAAGTAACTCACCGAGAAGACTGCGGAGAATAACTTTTCTTTTTTAACCACCTTTGAAACTCCGCGGTTGCTTGGGATTACGTTTAGCAAGTTTCCTGGCTGAGAGAAGAGTCTGTTTGGTTTGTTTTTTCATTTCGGTTCACTTTAACTTTTAGTAAATTATTTAAAGGTCATGTGTCCTGACATTTCGCTTTGAACCCGCAGACATGAGCCAGCCGCCCAGGTCAAACCGGGCACACCGGGAGAGAAACGGGGACCGCCGACAGCGAGACCCGAGTAATGACGGACGTTCATCATCCGACAGGTGTGCTTCACTGTCATGACTCCACCTGTCCGTCTGTGCACGACTAAATGTTCTGTGAATAGGTTTTAAAAATCTTTAATTCGTTTTTCTTTAAATTCGTTTAAAAGGACAATGGTGATCATAAAGACAAAGATTAATAGATCATCTTTCTTTACAACATTACAGTTAACTATTAACACTATCAGAAGTCATACACTATATACATAGGCTTTATATTAATGTACAGTTTCTGTTTTGTTTTTTTTTGTTTTTTTTTGGTGTTTCTGCTTTGTTATTTGTCATAGAGACAGTAGTGAAAGAAGGCATGTCATCCAGAACCATTAATATACAGCATATTATTATCACAGTGGACATTATATTGTGTATCATAAATCCAGCCAATATTCTCTGACAAGACGCAAGTTATTATATATATATACTTATTTTATTTGTCACCTACATTATTTTGTCATTTATTATGTTATTTCTGTGTCTTGGCTGTTGTAACACCACAATTTTTTTTATCTAATATGTCCATCAAAGTAACATACTACTATTTCCCAAGTATAATAAACAACTGAATTACAAATGAACTACTTTTGTTCCTATCATATTATATTCAAAATAAAACAGAACATGGAGAGGCTCAGTGCTACAGCAGTACCAAGTGTCCATATTTTCTGTATCAGTCCAAAATATGCTTAAATACAAACTAAAAATAGAACACAACATGAAAAAGGTTCAGTTCCTCAAGAGTAGAAAGCGCCCATGTTGACTTTTTGTTTCTGTTTAATTCTAAAATATGCTGGAATACAAACTAGACAAATGAGTTGTAGAAAACGTCTTTGGTGTCTTGATGCATGTGTTTCTACGTTCCAGGCCTTCCTCCCGACCCCCATCATACCCCAGGACAGCCAGCTCCCGCTCCCAAACAGTCCCACGAGAGGAGCACCACGAGTCCAAATGCTCACACATTTGCTCCAGGAGAGGTATGTCAGGATCAGGGTGGAATCAAATGAAAGCTCATGCTGGTGCGTCACAGGGCACACTTTGGTTTCAGTCTCATTGCAGCTCAGTTGTTCTTTCTATGAATACTAGACAGACCGGTTTTCCGCTGTTTACAGGCCTCTTTTCTCAGAATTTAAATAGAGTAACATGGCCCTTTGATGAAAGAGACAGCTCATAACCTGATTCTGAGGCATTACTCACATGCTCCAGTGTAAATGTGATATATTTGGGGTTTGGACTGTTGATTGTTGACAAAACACAAACATTTTGTCTGAAAATAAACTTGTTCTGTCTTGATACTAATTCTGATAACTCAGCTCAAGATATCTGCTGATACAGATTATCGATCTGGTCCCAGTACTTAATTTCTCAAATTTAAAATATACAGTAGGCTAGTACTGTATATGATGGGAATGACAAAAAATGGTGCCTTAACCTTGGTGGGATTTTCTGATCAGATTCCTCACCTGTTTCGTATGTTGACTCCCTTTTAGGCATCGTGCTGATCTGCTCTGTACTGACCAACAGCCTGGTACTGATGTGCGTGATCGCAGCTCAGATGGTCACATCGGGCATGACGTCCATGGCCGCGATGGGCAGCTTCGACATCAACACCAACCTGAACATGGAGGGCACCGAGCTGCAGAAGGCACGAGAGCTGGACATGCAGTACAGCCAGATGAGGGCGCCGGGCGTCTATGGCGGCATCCCCTTTGTCCTGATTTTTGGGGTCACCTCGCTGTTGTTTGTGCTTGCTGGGAACAAACCGCCCCACGTGATGTCCTGGAAGCTTCTGGTCGGATCGCTGGTGTTTCAGGCTGTGGGCGCGGTGGTGTACGTGGTGGCCGTGGGGCTATACCTGCACTTCGTCATCATGGTCAACTCCACAGATGTGTGTAAGCAGCGTGAGAGGCTGTACGCACGGAGCGGCTACACCTGGAAGAACTGTGACGTGGGCGGGGCGGATGCATCCGTGGCTCTGTTTGGGCTTATCACGGCCATCCTATACACCGCCGGCGCGGTGCTCACCTTCCAGACGGTTCGGAGAGTGAAGCGCTACATGCAAGAGCGAAAACACATAGAGGAAGAAAGACAGCAGGACCGAGAAAACAAACAGAGAGCCCCGCCGAGCTGGGCTGCAACCACCGTTCTGTAAGAGATCCAGATGTCCTGGCCTGTATCACAAATCAGATTAGTGGGTTAACTATCTTTGGGCTCGACTGATGTTTTCTGGTTTCATGAAGCTGGCTGACTTTAACCGGAGTAGACCACAATGGAAAACTAACCTGTGCTGAAGCAGGTTATGTTCAGAGCATCAGATTAAAACCGTATCCAGCCCACCCTCTGACCAATCAGGTCACTGAAAAAAAAGTACTGAGTTTACAATAATGTGGCAAATAATAAAGAGCAATAGAGTTAGTTTAGGTTTTTGATACCAAGGAGCCCCTGGAAGGTCACTTGAGGAATTTATTTTCTGAACTACTTCCGTCATGTTTTGCATAACCTTCAATACTTTGTGCTTTTATGGATATGACGGTAGCATAGGGCATGGATGGATCATAATGAGGGTAGGGTCGGTGTGGGGCTGGATCACTGTAGCTAATGTTATAATAACTAGTGGAGTCTCTACATCGTGTTTTGACCTGCTGCTGAGGCTGCGGTTGTGACAGGCTGTAGATGTGATTATGACTATATTTACTGGATGGTTACAGGCTCACTTTGGCTGCTGCTGTGGCATGTGACTGTGAATGTGGGGGTTGTGTTCGTGCAGTGAATTGAAATGGTGCTGGCCGATATTGAACTCCTGTGATGTATTGCAACACATCTGTCGTATCTGATAGAAGCTCAGGGTTCAAAGCGTGCGTGTCTGGCTTTACAACGCTTTCTTGGCTAATGTTAATACACCAGGAGCTTTAAAGAACAGCCACAGTTAGCGCAGTTAGTAGCCATATCCATACATAGGAACAGCTGCAGCCGTAACCCAAACCATACCCCTGGTCAAAGCTTCAACCACAGCTCAAGTCTACAGCCAGGCAGAGCCAGCTTCAGCTGTGGTCACAGTGACTGCATGTTGTCAGAGCTTGACCTTTACCTGTGGATCAGGAAGCATTGTGGGGTAATGCAAAAGTAGTTCCAGGAAACAAATTGTCCTACTGTGAGCTTTCAGTGGCTCCTTAGGAATCCATGTTATGTCAAAGCTAGAAGATTTTTATTTTTTTTTTTAAATGTGCCAAAAGATGGTTTTAAAACAGGGCTTGTTTAAAAAATAAAATAAAATAAAAAGCTGCCTATTGAAGTAATTATTTTTTTTTTTTTTCCATTTCTTACCGTGTCAACACTTTTATACTCTTATTCCATCACTGCAGCTCAGGATGACTTGAGCTTGAGTGTTTAAGCTTTTTAGACTCAATGAGATGATAACTGAAAATAGTGTGTGTGTGTGTGTATGTGTGTGTGTATATATATATATATATATATATGTGTGTATATATATATATATATATATATATATATATATATATATATATATATACTCACTGTCATTGTTTATCAGGCCTGGATCAACAGCAGATTTTGCTGCAGCAGGTTATCAGTTTCAACCTGTGTCACATTAAATACTGTACTCAATGGTTCTGAGGATGTCGCATGTTTTTCTGTGAAGGTGCTCCTGACTGGACCTCCAGGTTTAGTTAATCCAGGGTCATCAGTGAAGCCAGGCTGCCTGAAGAGAGCCAGACTTAAGTTTAACTTGTTTTGTGATACAGGTCCAATCTGGGAGGATCGGAGTTTAATTTTTAAGTGAACTGTTTGCATGTTATATTAGACTCTGGGATTTATATAAATGTTTTTAACGTGTATGCTATTATAATAATGTGTTTTTGTATCAAAGTCTGACTTTATAATGGAATTTTTTGACACTCAAACTGTGCAAGAATGTATCCGCTCAAATTAAACCTCCATCAATGTGATCCTGTTCAAGACTGTTCTGTTTATGATTACACTCAACAGCCTACAGGGGTCACCAGATCTCAGCACATCCCCTGCTGTGTCCTGCTGTTTTGATCACTGGCTGTCCTCTCCAGAGGCTTCCTGCCAGCCATGACATCACGGCTGTTATGTCCCCTCTCTGCTGTCACACAATGGGCCACACATACACAAAGGACACACCAGTGATGTAACTGCTCAGTCAAGACTAGATTACTAACAAAAGAAATTCTCTAGAGTGAGGTAATTACCAAAGTTCTAATTTTACCATTTCAGAGAAAACACAATGCAGCCACTGTATCACAGCAGGACAAACAAGACGTGACATTCGCTTCGAGAAATATAAGTTCTCGTGGCTTGTTGTTGTGCAGTTCTTAATCTTGTACATTTTGTTTTTTAAGATCTTTAAATGGGTCAGCTCCCCCAGTTTTAGGTGACGAGTGTTGACATTTATGTGCGTGGAATAAAGCTGCAGTTATTTGCAAACAAGTGTTTTCATCATTTAATCTAGAGCTGAAATGATTAGTCAATAGACAGAACCTTAATGGAGACACGTTTTTATAATCCATTAATCGTTTAAGTACTTTTTCGACCAAAAACACCAAACAGTCTCTTGTTTCAGCTTCTCAGTTATGATGATTCTGTGCTTTTCTTTGTTGTGTGTGATGGTAAATTGACAGTTTGGGGGTTTAAATGGTTGGTTGGACACAAAAAGCTATTTGAAGGCATCAACTTTAAGAAGTGATTAGCATTTTTCAATATTTTTATATAATCAACCATAAATTGAGATTAATATTGATAAATTGGTAGAAATGGAATATAAAAATTTATTATTTTCAGCCTTGATTAATCTGTTTTTACTAATTGCTAAAATGTCACAGAAGTAAAAAAAAAAAAATAATGCTTGAGGCAATTTCCTAAATCCGAATATGAGGTCACCAAATAGCTTCTTTTGTCCGACAAAGTCCAAATTCTCCAAAAGATTCAATTTACAATGAGATAAAATAGAGAGAAGCAGTAAATACTAACATGTGAGAAGCTGGAATCAGAAGTTGCTTTTTTTCTTAAATGATTATAGTTGCTGTAAATAAATGTTCTGTCCTCTGAACTAGAATACAATTTAGATTTTTGTATTAAAAGCAGTAAAAAAAAAAAAAACGTCAGCCGGGTGCATGTGTAACCTGCTGCCCCAGAGTACGTACTGCACGGTCCTGAGGGGCACTCGCGTCGGTCGCCAGTGCGTTTCTTAAGGTGTCGGGGAGTGAGGTTCACTCACTGCACAGCCTCGCTGGCTTCTTTTACACACAGATAATCCTGCAAAAGCAAATATATTTGTTTTAATGTTACTACAAACAAAATTCCACCGCACAGAAGTTTCAGGAGCAAATATCTCTAATTCTTCTTACATAAAAGTATCTGCATGTCATTTTCTGTGAACTGTGAACAAAACCTTTAAAAGAACTGGACAAACAAAATGTTCAGACGGCTGGACAAAGTGCCCGTTAAGTGTAAGTATCCACCACAAGAAGTCAAAGTCAACACACTGTTATCTGAAAACTTTCATTTATTATTTAGCAAAAGTAGCTCTCTTGTGCGAGTTGCCATTGTCAAGAACTGTTCTGAAAACATTCATTGAGCTGGTAGGACTCCCCCCCCCCTCCCCTCTGTTCAGCATTAACTCAACACTGCAGCACCACTCTGAAATCTGCAACCCCCCAAAAACACAAACCTGGAATATCAGCCTTTTGGAAATAATCTTTTCTCTCAGAGAATATTAGTACGCTTCAGTGACTAGGTCACTTTAAAGTGTCAAACTCCTAGGAGTTAGTTTAACAGTTTTACTAACTCCGACAAATGTAAGGCCATGAGCCACGACACACGGGGGGAAATGTCTGCTACAACACAAAAACAGAACATAGTCCATATCTCAAAGTACCATTTAACATAGCATTCATCTCAAAAGTCTAATAAAAAGCACTCAAAGTGCTTCTTCAAATTAAAGATATGGTAAAAATCAATTACATGTGAAGATTTATTCAACTTTAAGTGTTATAAAAAATTGCATTGCGTTTCAAGGGGCATAGAGTTAACAGTAGAAAATAAAGTAGATAACAAAAACCATAACTATAACAGTCTTTCTGGTCCATAAGCATGTTCAAAATACTTAGGTTTTTGGAGGGAGCGGTACAACTTAATGCAGTGCAGAGCATCAAGACCAACAGTCCTGGTTCCACAGGTCTGCATCCCTGAAACTGAAATCCTGGATGAGAAGTTGACACCATCAGTTGTGGAGGTGGGAGCAGAAGTTAGAGGGGTGTGACGAAATAGTCTGCAGGTTTCTGGTAGCTGTGTGCTTGCTGGTTGTGTGCTTGAATTTGCTCCTGCTGCTGCTGCTGCTGCTGCTGCTGCTGCTGGATGATCTGCCGGACTTCCTCCTCTAGCTCTGGTGGGATGATGAGCTGGTCGTCGGGGTCCGGCTGGGCAGGAGCGTTGAAGTAGCCCCCCTGCTTCCTGACCGGAGCGTCGGCCGCCTCCTCTATGAGGTCCTGGTTCCTTCCTTGGCAGGCCACGGAGCCGTTAGCTCGAGCCCTGCGGCCGAGAGTCCCGGACAGAGCCTCCCCGTTGAGACAGGGAGAGGAGGGAGGGACGGGCGAAGGAGACGGGGAGGAGAAGGGAACAGGTGAAGGCTCATGATGCGAGGCGACGGCGGGAGGGATGTTTGTGCTTGGTTGAGCGTGAGCGTGTGTTTGGGGTGCTGGGCAGTCATGACGGTGCAGACAGTGGACGTCAGCCTCCACCTCTACGCGGCTGCCGTTGGAGAAGACGCCGGCGATGGGCTCCTCGTCCTCGCTGTCGACCCCGTTGTCGGACAGAGCTCCGGAAAACTGCCTCCGGAAGCTCCCACCTCTACAGGCGGGTCTCCGCACGCCGGCTCGCCCAGGCAGGTTCAGGTGGGACGTCAGGGGCTCGGTCTGAGGTGGCGGCTCCTCTGAGGACGCCGTGGATCCCACTTCGCTGCTCATCTCAGATGTGCTGAACTCGCTGCTCAGCTCGCTCACTGTTCCTGAGGAGGCCGGTGGCAGAGGTATGCCGCCGTCACCACTTGCTGTGTAGGGGTGTGTGCTGGTGTGTGCGCCCAGGCCGGGGCTGGGGGGTGGAGGTGGCGGCTCGCAGAAACAGCAGCAGTCTTCTGTGATACTGAGCTGGACGACAACGGCACTGAGGCTGTCAGAGCAGCCGTAACTCTGAGCCAGAGTCACCAGCTTCTTAGCAGCAGCCAGAGCATCCGGTACATTCCTGACCGCCTCCACCGCCTCGCAGGGAGACAACATGTCCCACAAGCCACGGCTGCCCAGGAGAAAGAACTCGTCCTGCGGGGTGAGGGTCACTGTGGAGACGTGGGGTCTGGGGGTCACAGACGGGCACAGGAAGGAGTAACCCATAATTCTGGTGGTGTCAGTTACACCACTGACTTTGTTATCCTGCAGAAGAGTAGGATAAAGAGCAGTTAAGTAATGTTTTTCAGACAAAAGGTACACATTCAGGCTGTAAGAACCGGTAATGTTTGTTATCACTTCATCAATGCTGAAACGACTAAAGGTTGCTATCGATTAATTGTTTAGTCTATAAAATACTGAAAATAATCAATAGTTTAAGCCCTAGTGTTTTTAGTAATCTTATCTATATCTAATGTATTTATTAAAAATTCATTAACTGACAAATTGTTCGATCTATAAATGTTAAAACAACATTTAAAGAAATTCTCATAGCAGTTTCTCAGAGACCAAGTAAAGTCTTCAAAATGACAGTTTTGCCCAACCAAAACCTAAAGATATTCAATTTACAATGATATAAAAGAGAAAAGAACCACAAACGTTTGAGATTTTTGCTTAATAAATAAGAATTAATCTATAATCAAAACTTTCTTGCTGTCAATCACAAACTCTTTTACAACCAGGGCCGAACGATTAATCGTTTTCAAATTGAAATTGCGATTTGAAAGAACGCGAATCGTGAAGACAGCGATTATAATGTAGGTTAATAATACAGCACATTAGGGCTGGACGATATGGCCAAAAATGTTATCACGATATAAAGTTTTCTATCTTTCGATATCGATAATTATTATGTATTATGATAAGTATGAAATCTTTATTACTTTTGAGTTTAAAGGCTGATTTTTGCTCCTCAGTGAAAGTAAACCACAGTTAAATCTTTATGGTCAGAACATGACAAACACTTGACTCCAAACAGTGGATCACTTCACAAATCTGAGGGAGAACATTCAAAACAATTATGATAAAATCTTTTTCAACAAATATGCACGAGTTAAATAAGCAAAAGCTTTTTTCCTTTCCT